CTAGTAACTCTTCAGTGTTAATTTCCAAGCTCATAGTTTTATGTAGACACAATATCACAGATAGCAAAATTCTTGAATTCCAAAGCCCTTAAAAATAACTGCCTGTGACACAATTTGACCTTAAGACACAATATCATAGATAACAAAACTCTCGAGTGCCCAAAGCCCTTAAAAATACCTGTCTGCAACACAATTTGACAGTATCCTCCAGGCCGAGTTCATAGTCCGGTAAGTCACTAGCTGTCAATTTTTGTTAATGTGTGTTAAGCATCGGAAAATATTAAAATGTTTCTAGAAGACCTAAATGTTAATTCTGTGACAGTAGTTACCTCAAAATACCTTTGAAAGTTATTTGTTACTGGCTTGAATGTTGATAACTCGAGACAACGTTCGTCACTCGAGATTTGTTTGTTCATGAAGAGAGGCGTCCGTGATCCGAGGTCCAACTGTACTTAATTTCAACGAATTATGTTCATTTTTAACTTAATAAATATGGCAAAAAGTTGAGTGCCTTTATAAATCAGGAATGTATCAGGGAATATCGGGGATGTATGTCTAAACATATTTATCCTTAATTCATGCATCTGAGTTTTACCTTGAGGTTTAAACGTAAATAAGTCCTCAAGCATTTTTTTACGCATTTAATGTTTCACAAAATTCGTTTCATAAATTAGTAAGTGCTATTGTGTGAATACTTGAAATATCTAACCGGTCCAGTTAAACTCTCAGAATTTGATTATTTCAGTTTTCGTTCTGAAATCCGTAATGCGGAGATAAGGCTTCTACACAAAACAAGCCGTTCTTAACACATTTCCTTGCTAAAGAATGCTGGTATGCAATATTTTTTCTGCTAGCTAATTTGAGCGTGGGTGCAGCTGTTATGTATGCAAATTTTGTAGCTATTTTCTTTTTAGCTTAATATGCCTTTTCTAAGGGGTAACTTAATTTTAAGCACAAGTATATTAGAATAATTTATGTCCGGTAGTAATATGAGGAAAACGATGAAAACATAAATAACGCCTGTGAATTTTTTAAAATTTACTTCTATAACTTAAAAATGGTTGTTTTCGAATTCAAGTCATGGACTTCAAACTAAAAATAATAAAAAGTGATAAAATCTGCGGAAAAGGCAAAGCAACGCACATGTATTCACAGTTTCAGAATTCAGCGTGCGGTACTCAGAATACATTAACGTATGCTAAATACATTTTAAAACGTGCCAAAAGCCTTTCCTCCTTTAAATCACGCAATGTTCTTTTGTGTCTCAAGGTTACGATAAAAATTTGTGGAATCATACTAACAAATTCGACACATGAGAATTAAAATCCTCCATATTAGATCTCTAATATAACGCAAGTTAATTTTTTCATTGAAAGGGCCTTGGCAACTAATTTTAAAAATATTTTCGAAGGTAATCACATCTACAACATGATGAGTTGCTCAAGCAACAAAGCACTTCATGAAGAGTTCTGATTTATGCATCTAAATAGGCATTTTACATATGGTTTCATTATATTTGCCTATGTGTAACATGAATACAAACCGTCTTCCTTGGGAAATCTTTCATGAAGGCATTCTTGCCCTTTTCCAGGTAATTTTTGTGTGTTTTGCCTTGTTCAATCAATACAGTCCATTGAAGGTAATCGACAGTTTTCGGTAAATTAGTCTTTTGAAAACTTAAAATATCCTTTATTTCTCTTGATTAGCAGTTATTAATGCATTTAATCTAAAGAACATGAAGCTCTTTATATAGAATGGCTGTCATTTTTGAGTGGAGTTTTCTATACGGATACAATTGATCAGTTTATTTTATATAAGAAAAGAACTCTTGTAAAACTCTGTTATGGCCAAATTTATGCAGTCCACTATGTATGCTTTCAAATCATTTTGTTGTCGAAGTAATGAAAAGAATTAATACTGTTTTAACATTTTAGATAGTTTACTAGATATATATTTCTTCTAAAAACTTAGCATGTATTTACCTACGTATGAAACTTCCCATTTAATTTTGATAAACTGGAAGCAACAGACAAGTGACGGAGGACGCGGTCACCTGGTTACTAATATTGTAAAACAGGTATTTCTTCCGCGCTTAACACTATCTATGAAGCCGAAACATCCCTTGAGGCCAGGAGACGACTGATCGGAGTTTATTTCAAATATTAAACTAATTACATTGGCAAAAAAAGGGCTGTTGATTTAATTGCATTTCACATTTGGAAGGACAGCTTGATAATACTATCGCGATGTTAGAATAGGTGATATAATTCCCGAACGCTGATAAATACATAAAATATATATAAACATAAAAGCCATACATATAGGTGCATACAACATATATAAAGGAATACAATTACTTGTTTGCAATGAAATACTATTTGTATAGCACGGTTCCACATGTTAGGACTTACAAAATCAAGGTAGAAACAACAGACATAAAATATACAAATTTGACTAGGCTTATGTGTTTAGATAATTTGATTATCTAAAAAAATTATCTTCAGGAATGGAATAGCTCATATCCATGTTACAAATAAGTGCCTATGCAAAAACACCCCTGTAGCGAGCCTTTTAATCTGGAATCGAACGCAGGTACAAACTACTTGTGTTCAGCGACTTTACTGCTCAGTCGCTTGTGGGCCATTTCCGAAGGTATCCCTTTCCATAGCCTCTCCCACTAAACAGACCTTACGTTCAGTAGCTAGAAAGAAATCCTTCTCTAACTTTCAGAGATTTTACTATTACCGAAAAGATACTTAATTAAAGATAGAAATTTGTTTTCGCGTAAATTTTAATTAAAGAGTGAAATCATTTTCAGCGATGGGTGTAAATTTAATGTTTTTGACAACGAATATCATGATATGGATTGAAGGAAATGAAACACTCTATCTTTACTTAATCCATTTAATTCTAGCAGTCAAACGTTGAAATGGATCTGTGATAATATAAGGTTTCAGCGGGGCCAAGCAGAGTCGAAAAGCTTGTATTAATTAATTAATGGTAGGATTGGAGGAAACCGAACACAGCTCTTGATCTAAATCATTTAATTCCGACAGTTGAACAATCAGGTGGATTCGCGATTGAGTGAGGCTGTATTGACCGCGGCAGAGTCGAAAAGCATGTATTAATTAATGGTATAAACAATATGATTTACTTGGTTATAATACAGTAAAACTTCCAAAAAGAAAAAAAAAACTAATCACCTGACTAGATGGAAAATTCGTATTTCCGCAAGAAAAACAAATCTAAACATGCAACACGAGATTTAAGAATGTAGCTATTTAGACTCTACATATCCCTATCTCATTCCAAACTTTAGCGTTCATGGAAATGTGATCTGCCCTTGAAACAAAAGTAACCGAGCAAATTTTATTTAGAAAATCCTCCACGAATGCGTCTCTTCCCTTAGGTAGCTGGATTTTGTGTGCTTTATTTTAATCTACCATAATAACTGTGCAGAGAACTACTGTACAAATGCATAGAGAACGAATCATCATCAATATAAAATCAGTTTTCCCCCAATTCCAGAATAAAGACAGTAAAATCTATTGCAGAATAATTTACTATCATTTTATAAAACAAAATATTACATAATAATCAGTAAAGTTTATTCTGATGTCTTCTCCTAATTTCACAGTCAGCATTTACTTAGTTCAATACTGCTATAAGGACATAATGCTGACTAAAATGTTGTTTGTGTCGCAGTACTAACCTGTAATGTACTTAAACATTTACTTCCTAAAATTTGAAAGCGTATAATTTACTGCAACGATTATCTTTAAAATAAAAGCCGTGAGGATAAATTCCAGAGCCAAAGAAACTGTACGTAAAATTCATCGCAAGAAAAATTCCATCTGCTCAATTTGTGCAGAAAGAAATTTTCTACCCCATATAAATATTTTCTGTTTCATTATATAAAATTTTGAAACTTCATATACATTGCTATATTTAATATAAAGTCTATAATTTCAGGGGATATTTAAATTCTTTGAATGCATTATTTCACAAATCAGTCTTATAAATGAATTTCGCAAAGAATTTTATATCCCTTACCATTTTCAACATTGTAATAATCGCATTTATTATCCACATCTGGCCTATATGAGAATGAAATCAGTTTGAACAAAAAAAAAAAAAAAAAAAAAGTATGCTACTATCTTAAGCAGTTTAATCACGTTCAGTTTTTTTAACATGTATCCTTATCTTGAAATTCATATTAATATATAGTCTTTTTTGTAGATCAGAGTTTCTTGAAGGAAGTAATTTCGCTCCTTTTAAGGCCTTTGAACTGTCTACTGGTTTAGATGTCAGTAGGTTCGGCAACAGTTTTATAACATAGCAAGATAAGATATAATTTATCCACGAGAAAAATTAAGAAATATGTTACGTACAAAAACAAATTATGCTTTGTAGGTCTTCCCTCAAATAATCTCAACATCGTATTTAGTGGAATGAGACCTTAGTACTCTGTGCTAACGTTTTACAAAGAGAAATCGCCTGTATGCTCTTAAACATGTAGGCGATTTACATAATTATGGTGTTACGGCTTCTGTTAACAAATCTTAATCTGATGAGCAATTTAATCTTACTGATAGAAATTTAAACAAAATTCGCCAGCACCATCTCTTAGATATTATTTATCTAGCATGATGCTGTATTATTACAACTGTATTATTTCAACATTGTATTTGCATTACAAAGAAAATATTATATTAATTTTATTAATTTTTATTGGCAAATTTTTGCAAAGAAATAAAAAATATTACATAAATTAATATTTAACTAATCCCATATTAAATGTAAGTATTAAAGAGAAAGCAGAAGGGATATTGCAAATAACCGTCTCAAACTGGAGACAGAGTGATGCAATAAAGTTTGGAAAACTCTGTTTCAGATACATTTATTTAGCTGTTAGCAGTAAAACTTACGTAAATTCATTCAGTGTAAGATATATTCTTAGGATATATTTACTTTAATGTGCTTTCATTATTCTTTCCCAGATATCACTTGAAAGGTTACATGAGATGGCGTAGCAGGAATCAAAATGTTAGATTGCTGAGAGTTCAAAGAGTATCTACAGACGATGACAGTTGCGGAAACAATTTGCAGGGTATTCAAGTTATTCCTCAAGCCCGTGAAAATTCTTCAAATCGGATATCTACTCTGGAAAACAGACTATCTACCAGTTTGCCAGCGGTTTTCACAAATGTGAGTGAACAGTTAACCTGTTCTACTGGATTTCCTTATTCTTTATCAGAGCGTCCGGAAATAAATATTTAATTTAGTAATTTTACTTCTGTAAATAATTTTAAAATTGTTCTATTTCTGTGAAATGGTTATTAATGCCCTTTCTATCTATACTGAAACTGCGAGATTTTAAAGCTATTTAAAAGCATTAAACATACTTTCAGGTAACAGAAACTGTCTTTATCAAATAATGACCTACAATTTCTGTTTAAAATGTTGGATTATTTATAAAATTTCTTTTTAGTAATAAACAATTTTTATATTACAAAGCAAAATGCTACTTTTATATAAATTCTGAAAAACAAAGCATATCGAAGATATTAAAAATAAATTTCAAATTTATTAATTGTTGTTCTGGTAATAGATTTTACAGTTTTCTACTTTTCAGATACCAGAAACCACTTCATAGCTGGAAACGGATGTGAAAGTATGGAAAAAAAAAAAAAAAAAAAAAAAAAAAAAAAAAAACATGATTATTTGAAACAAGGAAAACTGAATTTGTATTAAAAATTGAATAAACAAAAAGTATTGTAAGAATTTTCAAATATTTAGAATTTCAGAACTATATATGTTTAGATGCAATGAATTTAATAATCGCTATCTTTTTAATCACTTCATACTGAATATTAAAGTTTAAAATTTAACAAAAACATTTTACCACCGAATGCAGCTAATGCCTCGAAATTTAATCTTTACTAATTTGTGTACGAGAAAGGAATTCGTATTCAGCAATTGTATTTTCTCAAAATACAGCTTAGCTTTCTTAAATTTAAAGTAGATGTAGAGTATTGGATGAGAATATTTACGAAATGTACAATCTGTAAACCAAACGAGCAGCTGAAAGTATTAGTAGCTGACACAAATATGCAGTTCCTTTTGTGAGCAAACAAGTGTTGCTAGATAACATCCATAATTTACTGCGAGATGCATGGCTAATTCATAGTCTTAGACTATCTGTACATCTCGTTTAGAAGGCATAATGTCATTTTATGCCGGTAATTCTCAGTTCTGTCTTTCTTCTTGAATCACTGATTCAAACACTAGTAATCTACAACTTTTTGAAAGCAAGTGATCTATTTACTACATTATATGCAAAAATAAAAAGCTTTGATATAAAATTGTTTTAAAAGATAATTTCAAGCATCTGACTTATAAATGGGTCATACGAATTGAAATTCCCGGTAATATGACAAGGATTATCTGGAATTTGTAAACTACCACAAGTAGAAACATTAAAACTCCAATAAAATATCAAAAACATTATTTTCAGAAGACCTCAAGTTCTTGCCAGTTTGCGAAGGAATTTGCCCAGTGACTAGTTACTAGTGTTGATTATACTGTAGCAGGATATTTCTAAATCTTAGAAACTCACCACTGTTGAACGGATAATAGCGCTAACATTGGTGGTCTGACCTAGGTTCGAATCTTGGTAAATGATCTGGGCTGGTCACATTGGCGTTTTCGTGGTTTTCCTTATGTAATGTATGCTTTTATAAATTTCAAATTCTAAAATTATGTTAATAACATTCATACGTAGTTTCATTACTTTAAGATCATAATGAGTATTCATGTCAAAAATTTCATTGGATAAAAAATATTGTTCAACTTTAATTTATTCAAATAATGCCTAATATTCTGGTGAGTGCCAATGCAAAAGCCTGCGACTGTTTTCTAGGACATGAGTTTTATCAGAATGACAGGCTTGGCGAAACGGGTAAATAACACATCCTTCTTGAAAAAATTCAAACTGGTCAGAACTTTTCACGACAGTCTGCATATCAGATACTTGGCATTTAATCTATTAAAGTCAAACCTTTTCTAAACTGAAATGTAATGCTTAGTTAAATGTAAATTTTAATACTCAGTATCTAGCTCTTCAGTACGTGTACAGTTCCTGAATTTTCTGAGAACATAATCTCAAATTTTAAATATTTCGGTGTCGTCGTATCGGCGCCAAACTTTTGTATTTCATTTTTTAGAATGAGTATAAATTTTAACTAAATATATGGTCAGAGGGTACCACTGAAATTTAATGAAAAATTATTAATTTACCACTGAAATTTAATTTCGCAATTTTAAAAAGGTTCATTTGATAAATTTAGAAATGCCAAACATGAATATTTACTCCATTTCAAACATTTTTTTAAATGAAGTATATATCTACGACCAATGGTTTTGAAAATAATACAATTAACATTTTAGCAAAATCTTTTATTACTTAAAAATTTCCATCAAATATATAATTTGCACAAGATTTTATTTCGTCACAAAAGTATTCATGCAGAAAACTGGAATTAACAAACTTCATCAAAATTTACGCAACATGTGAAATCCTGTCAAGTCTGTTACATGCATTTTAATGGAATGTAAATGTCTTTTTAAAAAAATACACTACTCCTTTTTGTGATAGTCCTAAAATTCTATCACCTCACAAATACCGCGTGGTTTAGACCGCTGAATATTGGGAATTTGAACTGGGTTTCGATCTCAGACAAACTGGCTGCATGATGCGTTTTCGGGTTTTTTCCATGCGTAACATGAACAAGAGTCAGTTTTCCTTAAAATGCCCTGCCCTCTAGAAAGGCACTCTTCATCTTGGACAGATAGCCCTCGTATGCTTTGCGATAATCATGCATACCAAACTATCTGTTCCCCTCAGGGGCTCACTTTTGTCAGTATAGGTGTAGCAATCCCGAGGTACCCTAGCCCTTCAGGGGATCATCATCTTGGTGAGACGGGTGAAACGATTCTGGAGCCCTAGTGATCTATCCTCTTTTCCTTCCTCTTAGCTGTAACTTTTTTCGTTTCCTTCCTCCTTGTGGTTTTCCTCTTCAGAGGTTGGGGCACGTCATGACAAACTGGAACAACTCATATTTCTAGTTTTGGAGTGGCGAAAAAACTGCCCACGTGTTTGCCGTACGTAGAGACCCCTGCCGCTGAAAAGAATGGTCCTGGTAGTTGAGGGGAGAGGTATTATCCCCAGCAAATTACTTTGTCCTCTGCTTCAACCAAAAGGTAGGCACCTTGCCGTCCTCACGGGTGTCAATTGGCTGGTCACAAGTCTTTGTGTCAGTGGCTTGGGGATAAGCTCTCGGGAGTACCTGCCTTCGGGAAAGCCGACTGTGGAGCTTCAGTCTGCGTATAGGTTTGGCTAGCCCTAACACAGGAATCTGTGTTCTCTTGTTGGGTTCTGTTGTGGGTGCGGCGGTCGGACCCGAATCTTTTCTATTTTCATTATGGCTCTTTCCAATAATCTCCAAACGATTTATAAAAATACCTCTCTGACCAAAAATTTGACAACAAATGCCAATGCTGTTCAATCGAAGATTCAACCTCGTTTTGTTGTAATCAATGATCCAATAGATGAACTGAAAAAAAAAAGTCGCATTTTTTAATAAACAGATATGTTCAAGGAATTCCTGAGGGGGGGACCAAAGTTTATGAAGCGGCTGCGATCCGGTGACGTTTTAATAGAAACTATATCTCCTATTCAAGCCGTAACTTTTCTTAACATAACCAGACTTGGGAACCTGGATATTAGTGCTTCAGCTGACAAAACTATACATTATTGTCGGGAGTTACCTCGGAATTGGATCTTCTCTTTGTTTCGGAGGAAGAATTCGTAGCAGAATTCTCCAGTGAGAATGTCTGTACTTGCTAAGCGGATTAAGATGCGTAAAGAGAGTCGATTGATGTCAAACATGTCATGCTGACTTTCAGTTCGCCTGATCTGCCCAAAAGTGTCAAGGCCGAGTATCTTCATTGCCCAGTAAGACCGTACATCCCGAACCCCATGCGATGCTTCCAGTGTCAGCGCTTTGTCCATTCCAAAATTTCCTGTCGAGGTAAGCCCATGTGCTCCGTGGAGAGCCACGACAGAGATAACTGCAACGCTGTGCCACTGTGTATCAGCTGTAAGGGAAGCAAACAGCATTTTCACGTTCATGTCCAAAATGGAAAGCCGAGAAAGAAGTGCAGGCACTAAAACTAACTAGAAATATCACCTAGTACACAGCCACGCTTGATCTGCCTCCGACTGAATTTTAAGCCCTGCTATATGCGATATAAGATACTATTTCAAAGGATGATAGATAGAAAACCATTCTTTTTCCTGCACACCAGTGACAAAAGATGAAGCTACTGAAGCATCACTAATGAGGAGGGAGAAAATGCTAGAAACTGCATGAGAGAATGGAAGAAAACTTTTAGCTTCAGAAACAGACAAAACAGTGTAGCAATTTCTGATCGCGATGCGACTGGGAAAACGTTCTCCAGAATTAGATCTAGTAACATCGTGAGAACAAATGTAAGGCTCCGTACAAGTGACAATTTCCTCCCCCATATTTAGTTACATCGTTTAAGAAGTCTGCAGGGTCTGTACAGTGGGAAGTCACTAGCGTTACACATGCACAATCAGAGTGATCACTTTTAGTACTTTTGGGTAAAAACATTTACTCATTGTCGTAAATTCATAGTACTTTCTGGAGAATAATTATTTGATATGTTGGTGGGAATTTTTTCTTTCCTTAAAGGTCTCAACCTCCATCAAAGTACCTATTCCCCAAGGAAAGAGATGCATACAACCGGAACATAGAATCGATTTTTAAAGGATATTTATTAAAATAAAATGTGCTAAAATCATGCTTCATCACAAGTGAAAACAAGTGCCAGAGCCCTTTTATTTAGGGTTCTGGTGTGCTCCGGCTACAATTACGATTCAGTTGAAAAAATTGAGCAGTATCAAAGCCAGGCTCAGATGGGCTCCAACGGAATTTGAGCACTACACATATACATACATATATGTGTAGTGCTTAAATTTCTTTTTCGCTCAACATCCTACATACTCCCGATTTACATACTCCGGGGTATTTGCGCATGCTCGCGCCATATTGGTTTGTGCTTTCTTCGTCTCCTGAAAATACACTATTTTTTCCGGTTTATTTACACTATTTACACTATTTTATACTATAAATACTATTTTATAGCGTTTTTGTGATATTTTGAAGCTAATTGTTCCGGTTGTGATATTATATCACACTTTATGTTTCTGAGACTATTTGACGAACTTACGGATGTTTGCATTTTTGTCTACGTGGCTCGTCGTGCTTTGGCTTCGATTTGTGGATTACTATTTCTACGATATAAAAGGTTTGAAATGATATCACACTGTAAATACGTTTGATTTCTACATTATTCTACTACTTTAAAAAGGGTACTGATTGGATAATGTCTTTACAAATTTGTCAAGAAATTCAGACACAGCCATTTGAGTCTA